AAAAAGACCGGGCACGGTGGCTCACGCCTGTAATCCTAGCTCTTTGGGAGGCTGAGGTGGGCAGATCACAAGGTCAAGAGATAGAGACCATCCTGGCTAACACAGTGAAACCCTGTCTTTACTAAAAATACAAAAACAAAATTAGCCAGGCATGATGGTGGGTGCCTGTAGTCCTAGCTACTCGGGAGGCTGAGGTGGGAGAATGGCGTGAAGTATAAGAGCTGAAGCCAGGCACAGTGGAACATGCCTGCAGTCCCATTTACTTGCAAGGCTGAGGTGGGAGGATGTGTTTCAGCCCGGGAGTTAGATGTAGCCTAGGCAACATAGTAAGACCCATCTCTAAAAAAATAAAAAGAAAGAAAGAAAAATATAATGAGAGCCATATATGTAATTTAAAATTTTCTAGTAATCTCATGTAAAAACTTTAAAAAAGGTAAAATTAATATTTTATTTAACTCAGTATATGAAAATATAATTTTCATGCTATCAATATGTAAATTACCAGTGAGATATTTTACTTTCTCTGTTTTCATAATAAGCCTTTGAAATCCAGGATGTATCTACACTTATAGCCCATCTCAGTTCACTCTAAACATAAGAATTCAATAGTTACAGACTGCTGAAGATCAGTAAAGATGTTATCCATTTGCCCAGCTGCATCATCTGAGAGTGTTGCATGTTGAAGACATGATCTGTTACAACAAATAAGTCAAGTCACCTGTACTGGAAATCAGTTTGCTGAAATTATTGAATCAAGTTGAAGAAAAGGAGGTTCCAGCCTTGACAAGGGGATTGTGGCCCTTCCTGGAATCCCTCTGGACACACCCTCCCAGCATCTTCTAGGAAAGATGCAGCAGCTCAAAGGGAAGCCCAGGAAGGAGACATGGAAAGACAAGAAGGAGCAGAAGCAAACCATGCAGGAGGCCCGGCAGCAGATCACCACGGTGGCACTGCCCACGCTGGCCACGGTCGTGCTCCTGATCGTGGTGTTTGTGTACATGGCCACACGCCCCACCATCAACAAGTGAGCACCGCGGCCATCCGCAGACCCATTTGGCAGGGAGAGGAGGCACAGGAGGTGGAAGCAAATGAAACATGGCTTTCATATTCAGAGATGTTCATGCTGCTGAGCTATAAGCAGGAGCACCCTGTCTTCTCTGGTTTTTTTTTCTTCTTCTTCTTCTTTTTTGAGACGGAGTCTCGCTCTACCACCCAGACTATCACCCTGTCTTGCTCTATCACCCAGGAGTGCAATGGTACAATCTCGGCTCACTGCAACCTCTACCTTCTGGATTCAAGCGATTCTCCTGCCTCAACCTCCTGAGTAGCTGGGATTACAGGCACGTGCCACCACGCCTAGCTGATTTTCGTATTTTTAGTAGAAATGGAGTTTCACCATATGGGTCAGGCTGGTCTCGAACTCCTGACCTCGTGATCCACCCACCTCAGCCTCCCAAAGTGCTGGGATACAGGCGTGAGCCACCGCACCGGGCCTTTCTCTGGCCTTTGACTTGGTTAAAGTGTCTCCATTTTTCTTGGAAGGGAATAGGGGATGTTTCATCAGTGAACATGCCATGTACCTTATGGTCCACTCATGTGCCTTTCAGACTTCAAAGCAGTGTGTCTGTGTGTGTGTGTGTCTTTTTCTCGCCTAAAAATTGATAAGTAGCTCCACCTGAAGAGGGGCGGAACTTCTGGGTCAGGAAGTAGCTGGAATCTGCACTTACCTCATCCCCATTGTTTGGATCATGCCTCTTTCCAACATGTGTTCACAATCTCCAAAGGGAATGTATTTCTTCTCTGTTGCTTAATGTGATTTGAAATATGTTGAATCAAAGTGAAATATTTATTTTTGAATAAAGGAGATAATAGCATTAAACAAATTCAATAGTTAGAGGCTACCATATTGAATAGTGCAGAGCTCTTAGGTTGGTGCAAAAGTAATTGTGATTTTTGCCATTACTTTTAATATAACAATGTTTTCAAACTTAACTTTGCATCAGAATTGCTTGGAGGGCTGTTAAAATAAAGATTGCTGGGACCCATCCCCAGAGTTTCTGGTTTTGGCAGGGTACAAGAACTTCCATTTCTAACAAGTTCCTAGGTGGTGATGACGCTGTTGGTTGAAGGACCACACCTTGAGAACCACTTATCTAGAAGCTGGAGCAGTAAGAAAAAGTAGAGAAGCAATTAGGAGCCAGGGATATGTAAAAGAAAGTGGTTTGAAAAAAAAAAAAAGAAAAGAAAGCCAGGCGCAGTGGCTCACGCCTGTAATCCCAGCACTTTGGGAGGCCGAGGCGGATGGATCATTTGAGGTCAGGAGTTTGAGACCAGCCTGGCCAACATGGTGAAAACCCTGTCTCTACTAAAAATACAAAAATTAGATGGGTGTGGTGGTACATGCCTGTAATCCCAGTACCTTGGAAGGCCAAGGTGGGAGGATCACTTGAGCCCAGGAGTTTGAGACCAAACTGGGCAACACAGGGAAACCCTATCTCTACAAAAAAAAAAAAAACTTAAAAATCAACAAAGCATGATGGTGACTAGTCCCAGTTACTTCAAAGGTTGACGTGGGAGAATCGCTTGACCCCAGAAGGTCAAGACTCCAGTGAGCCGTGATCACACCACTGCACTCCAGCTAGGTGACAGAGCAAGACCCTGTGGGGAAAAAAAAAAAAAAAAAAAAAAAAAACTAAGTCC